CTTTTTTCTTTTGTCGCGCTTATCTTTATCATATCTCTTTATATTATATTTTGTTACTGTCCTTTTTGATATAACTGTTGAGACATTGAAAATGATCAAAAATTGATCGAAACGTACGTATGTCCTTATATTGTATTCGAATTAATGTTGAGACAATTTATGTGCTTATCTCCATCCAATTAATTTTAATAAATATATAATTTTCTGTCTTTGAATTTATTACGTTCTAACACCCTACATCACAATCTACAGCTTCTTGCTCTATTCATAATTTTTAACCAAGAGCGCATGAATTTGGAGCCTTTTATCATTTTTTCTTGAAAAGATAATTTTTTACAAGTTATATCAGTCTTTCTTTAGTAATATTTATATATGAATTGTTTAATTGTTTAAAATATCCTATTTGGATCATTGAATTATTGAATCTTAATAATATAGAATATGTATAGTTTCTAGTAAATTTAATTAATGGATTTAATTCATATTGAACAGAAAGAATAACAGAAAAGGTAAAACTGCATATTAGCAACGACTTCATGAATTTCGATGACTTTGACATATGTTATCAAGGATATGTCCCTGAATGACATTTAAAAGATTTTAGTCGTCGCTCGTTATTTATAACAAAGTTATAAATAATTAAAGATAGTGACTAACCAATGGCACAATAGTAATGTAAACCTCGTTTTGCGAGAAATACTGAAAATCTATATAAATCTATATAAATCTATATATATTTATCCCTCCAAAAAAAGCTTTACAAAAATAAAAAAATAGTCAAATACATAAAAAATATTCCACCTTGTATGCAACAAAACGTTTATAAAAAAATATCCCTAAAAATAATTTATAATAAAAATTTTCTCTCAAAAAATATATATTTTTCCTAAAAAACTAAATATGAAACTAAATATGAATCATTAATTAGCCAAGTACATTGAAACAATTGATAGGGATTTGTAATTTGAAATATTTGTCACAACTTCAATCTTGCATTTATGTATTAGGTTCTCAACAAAATGAAAATGAGTTTCAAAATAAGTTCAATTCTTTGTATGATATATAAAAATACATTATTATGTATGATCCAAATAAATATTTGTGCAAGATATGAAATAGTATTAATATATTGTAGATTATAAATAGTATGTCATAAAACTATTTAACACTTACTGCAATAACATCGATTGCATTAATCGCCAATTTTGAATTTAAAAGAGAAAAACTAATCGACTTGTTTTAAGATCATAAGTTTGACTATGTAGACCTGGAACTAAAAGATTTAAGAAGTTACATACAAAAATTTGACCCGAGTTGTATTGTAATTTATACATTTTTATTATTAGGATATATTTAATTTTGAAATTAATCATAAAGCTTTGCTAAGTAAATTTGAAACTAAAAAAATTAAAACCAAAACGACTTACAAAAACTTGGCGTGCTCGAGTCACATTATAATACACATAATTTTACAAAGTTTGCGAATTACATACCTGCAATTAATTTTAATTATAGAAATATGTGAATTATAATACAAGCACGCCAAGTTTTTGTAAGTCGTTTTGGTCTTAATTTTTTTAGTTCCAAATTTACTTAGCAAAGCTTTATGATTAATTTCAAAATTAAATATATCCTAATAATAAAAATGTATAAATTACAATACGACTCGGGTCAAATTTTTGTATGTAACTTCTTAAATCTTTTAGTTCCAGGTCTACATAGTAAAACTTATGATCTTAAAACAAGTCGATTAGTTTTTCTTTTTTAAATTTAAAATTGGCGATTAATGTAATCGATATTATTGCAGTAAGTGTTAAATAGTTTTATGACTTACTATTTACAATCTGCAATATAAAATCCGCAATATATTAATGCTATTTCATATATTGTACAAATATTTATTTGGATCATACATAATAATGTATTTTTATATATCATACAAAGAATTGAACTTATTTTGAAACTCATTTTCATTTTGTCGAGAATCTAATACATAAATGCAAGATTGAATTTGTGATTTCAAGTTACAAATCCCTATCAATTGCTTCAATGTACTTGGCTAATTAATGATTCATTTCATATTTAGTTTTGAATTTTTTTTAGGAAAAATGTATATTTTTTGAGAGAGAATTTTTATTATAAATTATTTTTAGGGATATTTTTTTATAAACGTTTTGTTGCATACAAGGTGGAATATTTTTTATGTACTTGACGTATTTTTTTATTTTTGTAAGGCTTTTTTTGGAGGGATTTCACATCTTTATGTAAAATTTACGTATATGTTTTGAGAGATAAATTATTTTTAGGGATATCTTTTTTATAATTACATTATTCTTTATTATAAAATAAAATTTTGTTTCACGTATGAAGAATCAAAGAATGTTTTTAGAAATTCAGAATTGAACAGAATTGAATTTGTAATTGAACGATAAGATATGTTGCAATTCTGTCATTGTATTAGATCTTAAAAATCTACAAAATTGAAATTTAGGCATTACTAGGTCTATAAAAGAAGAAAAAAGTTAAAAATTCGAAATAACTTAAACAGATGTATGTAATAAATAAATAATAATAATGTAATTACTATGGAAGTTTGACATAAGTTTGTAGCGTATTGTAATAAATATTATTTTATAAGGCAGCATCAACATATATAGTTCATCCTCCCATAATTTAAAATATATTTTCAATTTTACAAATATGATGTTACTCTTTTTCTACTTCCATGCAACATCTAAACCTTATTCCTACAAGTAACTATTCATACAAGTTATAGTTACACAAAAAAAGATTATCTGTGTACATAATTATATATAAGTATGTATATTTATAACTCTATAGTTCGATAGTGCATAATTATATACACATATATTTATAAGTATATATTTATATGTATGTGTGTATGTGTAAAAATTTACATACTTGACTACGCAACCATAATTATAGTTATAGACATTTATTACATTTGCCTGCGTAGACATAAATATAGTTACGCAAAAATATTCCCTACATGTATAATTATATATATATATATATATATATATATATATATATATATATATACATATATATATACAGGGTGATTTATATAAAGTGACCGATGTGAATATTAGCCAAAGTTGAAGAGCTATGAAAAAATTTTTATACCAAAAGATGTGACACAGAGGGGGGGGAACATCGTATAGTATAAACGATATTTTTATAGATGAAGGCATTAAGGAGATTTCAAGATTAACTTAATTTTTTTAAATAGAACCCCCTATTTTTTATTATGTATTCCTATAGCTTATCCCGAGAGCTTTCCAAAACACTAATAACAATAATAAAGTATTTCTTTATTGAGTACTTTTCGAATTATGAGGTTTGAAATAATTTTTTAATTTTATATAAACCATAAAATATCTAGTAAAATATTCATTTTTTGATTATCTTACCTCAATACTTTTATATACAAAATAATAAGAGGAATCAATTGGTGTAAGGAAAAAACGGTTGTTTAAAAAAAAATATGTAATTGGTAATGCAAATGTGGAGACCCTTAGGGAGAGAGGGACGGAACTCACTATATCCATGCATGTACTTTGTAAAGGAAAGTTCATCCTACATTTTACTTCTTGTTGCACGTACTTTGCAAGATAAAGGGATTGATTCCATATCTAATCTTCCACTGAGAGTGCAGTTTATGCAGATTTATTCAAAATAAATTCATGGGAACAATTGAACTTATTTTGTAAATAACCTTATATTAAACAACGAGCGACAATGGCTAAACTTTTCACAAATTAATCAGGAACATATCCTTGTCAACATATATCAAGGTCATCGAAATTCATGAAGTCGTCGATAATATGCAGTTTTATCGCTGAAAAGTTTAAACAATATAAATTACAGAACAAAAAAATGCATATTTAATTGTTTGTTTGCGTGCTTACATGCGTCTATGTGTGCGTCCATGCGTGTGTGCGTGCGTGTTTAGCAATAATTGCCTTGCAAAGAAAGCATGGAATATTCATTCTCATTTATGCTAATTACGAAATCATGATTTGATTGATCCTTATTCTTAAAATAAAATACTTAATTCATATATGACTATTGAGAATTCTGCTCCATAATTTGTATTACAAGTATATTCGAACACAAAATGTTGTTAATATCTCATTAATACCTCATATAATGATAATGATAATGTTCCCAATTGATGATATTATTTGTGACTATTAAAATGAAAGAATGCACGAATAATAATATATTAAGAAATCCGATATTAGCTAAAGCAAAATTGTTAATATCTGTCTGCGTAAATAAAATTGGTGAAAGCATCATTAAAATCTCTGTAACATGATATAATAATATTTCGTACACACCTGTGTAAATGTAAAATATTTTGTAAAAATTGAAATACTATCACTAACATAATTTTATGTTAAAAATTTGAACAGACATTTTTTACATACAATAAAAAAAGACAAACATATGTAATGAAAAACATATATATATGAAAAGAACAAAAAAAATGATTATAGTTACGATGATCATGACGTTTCTTAAAAAATTTCATATTAAGATTTTGCATTGTAATATCCGTTGTTAAGGCACATAAAAATAAAGATATTTTTTTATTTATTTGAAACCCCTATCTATCAATTAAGTTAAGTTATCAGTGAATCTTATTAAGAATTTGATTGACCCAATGATTGAAATCCGATAATACTACCCGATCTAAAATACTCGTAACTGAGAAGCTATATCGTATATAGATGCATAGTCTGCCTCATTGTTGCTGCTTGTTATATAGTGACACTACTCTGTGTCTTTTGATATAATTTTAGCTTTTATTAACGATTAACTTTATTATACTTGCGAGAAATAATTTTAAAAAATCTTTAGAAACATTAGAATAATCGTTTCTTAAAATGAAATTTTCTTAAGAAATCAAAAAATTCTTGACTAAATGTGTCCGAATAAAGTACGATTTTGATGAAAAGATCAGACAAAAATACCATTTTGTTTGAGCATGGAGCGTTATCAGGGTAACCAAATGATGTTGTGAATTTTGGGCCAACTCCAGGGGAAATGCCGATCGCATTATCGATAAGTCCAAAATCAACAGGGCTGGAACTCTGAATGTTTTCCGTCAGCTTGTCCATAGGTCTACTATAGTACATCGGGTTACTATAGTACACCGGAGTTTGATATTGGTTATAAGTGCCTGCTTGGTTAACTTGGTTATAATACGGCCTGGATGTTGGTCGGTTAGTAGTGGTACTGAGCGTAAACACAACCTCAACTGGGTTTCTAGGTGAATCCGGTATTATGGTTCCGTTAGGAAACTTGCGAACCAGTTTGCCATCCGGGAAAATGCCGAATATCACATATGGACTATTTATATTCCTGGCATCGATTAAATTGTCCTCCGGTCGTTTCCGCACGATGGTTTTGTTGGGATAAATACCATAAATCTGGTAGTCACGGACGGGTGCTTTACTGGAAGAACTGGATTTTGAAGCCAATGTCGCCTGGTTGCCACTAAAAGATCTCATGTTTTGAACACCAAAAGATGTAAGCGGCGGACGTGACATTATTCGATTCGACGTAGTAATCCGCGTGATCGGTGATGTAATTGTCGTCGGCATGCTTGTGACAGATGCGATTGTCTTTGTTGTCATCAATTCTTCTGACTCCATTGAAGCAACCGTTGTGTCTCGAGTATCAGTGGTTGTCATCTCGGTAGAGATAAGATTTTCGTTAATATCTATAGCTGGAATAGTCGTCTCGGGCATAGACCCGACAGTGGCAAGCTTGATTGGTGATTTTGTTGATATCGTTGGGAGAGTCGTTGTCGTCATTGTCGACGTCGATGTCATACTGTCCGTTGTTGATTCAATTGATGAGGGTAAAATGGTCGTTGTGTCGACCATGGGGGATTCGGAGGATGTGATAAGAGTACTAGTAATGATCGTTTCAGTTGATTGCTCGGATTGAATAATTCTTGAGCCAACCGCCGTCCCTTGGGCGATTGTTGTTGCCGTTGTATCCTGGAAATGGGTAATAAGATTTGGTATTTTACTTACGAGATCAATTAGTATTTGTAGAACGCTTGTTATACCGTTGAATTGATTAGTAGTGATGATATCAGTGAAGCTTATTAGGTTACAAATTGATGTGATGAAAGACACCGAACTTACACGAATGATTGAAAATCATTCATATTAATCGTATTATCATCGAATATTGTTAACAATATTATAATAATAACTGATATATTCTTGAGGAAAAACAATTTTTCGTAATCTATAATTCAGATGCAAACTCTATTGTGATAGATTTCGGTGTCTGATTAGAAGCACTTACAGCGTTTGTTCGCGCATTCGTCACGTAATGGCTACATCAATGGTTAATTCTTAGTGATTACTGTTTCCGCAGATATTATATTGTTCGATATCGTAAAATTGTTTATATTAAGAGCGTTTCTTCTGTAATAGCGTTGATAATATTTGTTACAAAGGGATTATTAGTTATAAGTTCCAATAAGTTCGAATTCAATATTATTATTTGGAAGAGTTGCAAATTGATTCTTGCGTAGAATGGTCGAAGGCATAGATTTGATATCATACGGTTATCAGACATTTAAATTGGATTAGATGATTGTAAATCGAGCATATTAGTAGTTAGTTAAGAACTCATGCTGATCGATTATTATGTTTGATATTTCGATCTTTGTCTGAAAAACAGGCGTTGTAATAATATCACCTACATCAATTAAATTTGTAATATCAGTTGGTCGCGTGTTAAATTCCATTAATGAAATTTCCGATCTTATAGTAGGGGGGCGATTAGAATTTTCTTCTATTTCGTTTCCGGATGTTGTGACATCTATACGTTCAGAAATGTTTTTTAAAACAGTCGACAGTTCGGCATTGGTTATTTCTGATGTATCATTTGATAAAATGAATTGATTTTTATCATTGTTTTCTATCATGCCATCAATTTGAGTCCAATTTTTTGTGTCTGGAACAGTAGTCGTTTCGACATCGTAAATCTGATTTGACAATAATTGTTGCGTTTCATTTATTTCTTCCGTAAAGAGAGTTTTCGCAATAGTCATTAGCTTAGTGAGCAACGTATCATTAGACAATTGTGAATTATTCTTTGTAACGAAATCAGCAAATTGCGAGTTATTTGCAATTTCTCTTGATGAATTTCTCGCATTATAAGTCATATTCGAACTTGGCATATCCCTTGCCTTTATTTCCTGATTATTAGATCGATTGTGTGCAATCGAAAACTCAGCGGCTACATCTGCTACTATATTTGGAGTGCTCATTGTTTGCACTGATCTATTTATCGTTGTTTGTGTTGTATTGTATTGTGTTGTATCTTGACTAGTTGTTATTTCAACGTTTTCTATAGGTTCCATGGTAGTCATCTCTTCCGAATTCTTCATATTTATTGATGACAAATTCAATATTGTATTGGGAGAGGTGTTGATAACAACGGGATTTTGTATAGATGGTCTAATTGTGGAGAAACTGTCTTGCGACTTTAAGTGTGATAAAATATTTGGTGCGATATCGATAAATCGTGTGCGAAACGTAGATGTGACAACAGGTGTTTGCGTTATTGGAATTTCAGTTATGTTGTTGAAAATTTTCTCTGTCGTAATATATTCGATGATGCTTATAGGTTTCGTTATTTGAGGCGGAATTGTCGCATCGAATTGTTGTATCGTATTTATTTCTATATTTTCAACTATATCGTTTATTTCTGTCGTTGGAGGCATTGTTTCATTGTATTGCTGTACGGTGTTTGTCTCGATATTCTCAGATATATCATTCATCACGGACATAGTTGTTGTTTCTGGTGATATTTGTGTTACAGTAATGCTTTCGGTAATTGGAGAAGATGTTATGTCCGATATAGTCGACATTTGTAGATTTAGAGAAGTGGGCGTGGATACATCTGTTATCATCGTGGAAGACGATGTTACTTCCATAGTTTTAGTCACTGATTCAATAGATCTAGTATTATCGGAAGTAGATTCCGTGGAAGACAGTATATCCGAAGTTACAGCATTTGTCGATGCCTCATTTGTGACTATTTCCGTCGTGGTGTTAAGTAACATTAAAGTATTCGAAACATTTGCATTAGCCAGTGTATTTGTCATTGTATTATCGGAGGTGCTGATTTCGGATTCCATAATAGATGCTGTAGTCGGTTGCTCGCTCATATCTGGATTTACGGGGATTTGAATTGTCGAAGTAATTTTCGAGGCATTGTCAGGGATAATCTCCGTAGCTAATCTCGAAGCAAACGAAAGATTTGTCGGTTGAACAGCAGTAGTAATATCTATGGTAGTAATATCTGGGAAGGATGTAGTCACGGTAAATGCGGATATTGGACTTGCGATATCATTGTTGTTAGCAGTATCATTACTGATGCCGTTAGGTACAGTAGCGTTAGAGTCTACCTTCATTACCCCGCCAGTTAGTTTTTGCCGCTGAGACACATCATTTATGCCAAGATTTTCGTTTCTTATGCTAGCTGACTCTAATGCTTGATAAAAAGTGATGAATCTGGGCTCGCCGGGGCTGTTGATGTGAACGGGCGACGCCAAATCAGAATTCTGCAATCAGAAATTCGGTGCGTGCAAGTGCTGTACAGATTTTAGTGCAATTTATGATGTGATAGATAGGTATCAAGAATATTTATATTATATTAATCTACAAATCAGGAGCAGCGTTTTAATTCTTAAACGTATTGGTTACACTTTTTTCGTATATATGAAGTAAAATTTCTAAACTTAAAAAAATGAGATTAGCATAAACATCAATAGTAGTTTGCGTATTTAAAATTTAATATGTTTTAGTTACTCTATTTACGAAAAACAAAGCTGTGTTTCTAAATGAATACAGTAATGAGACAGGTAATATATATGCTTATAATATTCTTTGCAATAAGATTCCTTACCAAATTCCATCAATGTATGTTTGCTATTATCTAGAGAAATTGCAAATCGAAAAGAAAGAGGTTATTAGACATCTATGATTGAAATTAATATATTATACAATATATTGTAATATAATTAAACTTTTCAATTCATTGAAAATTTTATTTTTATTGATTGTAGAATGGTTTTTTCTCGCGAGAATTTATAAATTATAATATAAAACAGTTTAAGAACAAATATAAGAGTTAAACACATATAATAGATTGACATATATTACATTTGTTTTACACATGTCATTTATTTCATTATGTTATATAAAAAAATTTATTAAATGTATCTGTTACGAATGTGCTTACAATTAAACTCACCGCCCATGAATTATATTCTCATTGTCAGTAAGACGAAATACGCAAAATATTTATATAAAATTAGAATAGGATTTACTGTATTTATATTTAATGTTTTAAGAAGTATTTTGAAAAATATGCGAAATATGAAAAAATGTTTCAGACAAAAATTGTGTAATTTCAAAATATGTAAGAAAAAAATTTGCAATTAACAATTATATATTTTTTCTTAAAAACTATATGTTTTTTTTACAACCCATTGATTTTCTCACATTATTTTGTGTATAAAAGTATTGAAGTAAGATAATCGAAAAATGAATATTTTATTAGATATATTTTACGGTTTATGTAAAATTAAGAAATTATTTCAAGCCTTATAACTCGAAAAGTACTTAACGAAAAAACATTTAATTATAATGTTTTGGAAAGCTCTCGAAATAAGCTACAAGAATGTGTAATGAAAAATAAGGAATTCCATTTGAGAAATTAAAGATAACTTTCGCGTGTCCTTCAAACGACTATCCAAGGTCATTGTCACCATTTTATGTCCCCTTTAAAATTATATAACTTTTGTCTGAAACATTTTTTCGTATATCGCATATTTTTCAAAATATTTGCCTGCTAAGATTAAAATGAATCACAGGATGATTTATTTGGTGATTCATTGGTTTATACATATACATGGTGGCCGATTTATCTGAAGACATTGAATATCTTGAGAACTATGCATCGGATCAAAAAAAGTGGGTCATGAAAGTTGTTTGTCCCGAAGGGGGACATCCAATGATATCAAACTCGACCCCCCACCGCTACCCCCTGGGGGTGGGGATGGGGGAAGATAAAAAACTTAAATAGGAATCCCCATTTTTTATTGCAGATTTGGATTCTCCAGAAAAAAGCACCCCAATTTGACCTACGAGTTTTTGCATTTTGGTTCACAGATGGCGCTGTAATCAACAAAAATCAAAATGGGTAAAAAATCGTTAAAAATTGGAGATATCTCGAGAAATACACATCAGATCAGAAAAATAAAAGTAGACGTATTTGATATTTTTAAAAATGCTATGACACCATAATTGACCCCTTACCCCCACCTCCTGGGTGTGGGAGAGGGAATTATTTCAAAATCTTCAATGGGAAACCCCATTCAAGGGGACCCACATTAAAAAAACACCTCGATTTGTGAGAGGCAAGGGGACTCACATTAAAAAAGCACCCCGATTTGTGAGAGGCAAGGGGACTCACTTAAAACAAGCACCCTAAAGGGAACAAAAAATACTAGGTCGACGTCGTTGTTCCTGGGTAATGCTAAAAGTAGTTTTTGATTTATTGATAAACAAATCAATGAATTTTTCCCTGCTTTCGATTGCATCAACATCTGTGAAAGAAATTATACCAATAATATCAAATCAATGGAGAACCAAGATTTGCTATAAAAAAAGAGTTTCCCATTGAAGATTTTGAAATAATTCCCTCTCCCACACCCAGGAGGTGGGGGTGGGAAGGGTCAATTATGGTGTTATTGAATAACATTTTGAAAAATATCAAATACGTCTACTTTTATTTTTCTGATCTGATGTATATTTCTCGAAATATCTCCAATTTTCAACGATTTTTTACCTATTTTGATTTTTGTCTATTACAGCGCCATCTGTGAACCAAAATGCAAAAACTCGTAAGTCACACAAATTGGGGTACTTTTTTCTGGAAAATCCAAATCTGCAATAAAAAATGGGGGTTCCTATTTAAGTTTTTTATCTTCCCTCACTCCCATCCCCAGGGGGTGGCAGTAGGGGATCGAGTTTAGTATCATTAAATGTCTCCCTTCGAGACGGACAACTTTCATTACCCACTTTTTTTGATCCGATGCATAGTTCTCGAGATATTTCAATATCTTCAGATAAATCGGCCACCGTGTATATATAGGGTGTCCTAGACCACCCATACACCCCTTTTCTTTCAAAAACTAAACATTTTAGAGAAAAACGTTTTCAGCAAAAATTGTATGGTTTTGAAGAGAACATAAGATGGTGTCATTGGTTTGACTTTGGATGACGTTAAGGTCAGATCAAAGACACCTTTAATTTCTTAAATGTAACTACCTACTTTTTATTGCATATTCTTATAGCTTATGTCGAGAGTTTTCCAAAACACTATAATAAAGTATTTTTCATTGAGTACTTTTCGAGTTATGAGGCTTGAAATAATTTTTCAATTTTACATAAATCATAAAATATCTAGTAAAATATTCATTTTTTTTTATTATCTTACCTTAATACTTTTATGTACAAAATAATGAGAGGAATCAATTGGTGTAAAAAAAACACAAAGTTGTTTTTAAGAAAAAATATGTAATTGTTAATTGCAAATTACATATTTTTTCTTTGGAACAATTATGTGTTTTTTTTACACCAATTGATTCCTCTCATTATTTTGTACATAAAAGTATTAAGGTAAGATAATAAAAAAAAATGAATATTTTACTAGATATTTTATGATTTATGTAAAATTGAAAAATTATTTCAAGCCTCATAACTCGAAAAGTACTCAATGAAAAATACTTTATTATAGTGTTTTGGAAAGCTCTCGACATAAGCTATAAGAATATGCAATAAAAAAATAGGTGGTTCCATTTAAGAAATTAAAGGTGTCCTTGATCTGACCTTACGATGCCATCCAAGGTCAAACCAATGACACCATCTTATGTTTCCCTCAAAACCATACAATTTTTGTCGAAAACGTTTTTCTCTAAAATGCTTAGTTTTTGAAAGAAAAGGGGTGTACGGGTGATCTAGGACACCCTGTATATAGTTGCGTCCGCGAAACGATATACAGAATGTCTGATAACTTTTTGTAATTTTGAAGTGTGGAGATAAATTGGCTTAAATTAAACAGAAAAGTTCTCTACTGTTTTGCGATATTTGCAATAATTAACTAAAAATTAATTATGGAAAATTGGCGAATCTGCGTGAGTAGAAGCACGTGGCGACGAGAGTCGTCCTATTGTAACATTATACTAGGCGTGCGGCAAAGCGGTGAGTAGGGAAGGAGTGAGTGCGATTCGGACTCACTACTCCTTCACACTTCAGGACTGCAAAAAGTTATCAATCTATATATCGAACGTGCACGACACAACCGAACGGCATACGCTGACACTCGCGCACTCGAGCACACGAAAATAATAACGTGATTTAAGAAACCAGAAAACTTTAATAAACAAGATAATACACAAGAACTCGGAATAATCGGAAAACGAGTCACAAATAGACGTGCATCCGGACAGCTTGACAGCTGGGCTCAGGCTCTCCGTCAGTCGTTGTTTAAAACAACGTCTTGAGTCGTTGTTTATAACAATGTGCGCAGAGATGATCTTCTTCCGTCGACGTACTTTCCGCCGAAAGAATACAACGAGTGGCGAATACATCCGCAGAGACGCAACACTGCCCCCCGTTTTTCAAGATTATTCCGACAATCACAAACTGTCTTCTTAGAATCTTGAGGCTTCTTGCTCTAATTCGACTCCTGTCAGAAATACCGAGCGATTTACTGCAAATCCAAAGTCGGCGTGTCGACTCCAGAAAATTAGCCGTGTCTTCTTGCTCTAGCTTTAGCTGCTACTATAGAAAAGTTGGCACGTTTTAATCTCAATCAACTTTCATTTCTTTCTTCAAATTCCCATTCTTCGACCGATGTCCAGACATCTTCGGATATAAAAAGGATCCAACGTCCAATAAGGACTTCTCAAATCCCTGCCTCCGCATTTACTCTAATTCCGCGGGAAAACCACGGCTCAAAAACGTGTCTGTGCCGTTTAGTTATGTTGCGCGTGTTCGATATATATCACTCCGCGAACGCAACAATATAGTATATAGTAACATATATATCGCTAAAACACACACACATATATATTTTATATACTATATTGTATACTATATATATATATATATATATATATATATATATATATATATATACAGGGTGTCCCATTTTAAGTGTTCACCCCAAATATCTCTCTCATTTTTTATTTAAAAAAAAATGGTTCAGACATGTTTTGTATGGTTTTGAGGAGGCCATAAGATGATATCATTGATTTGACCTTGAAGAATCATTTGAAAGTCACGTGAAGGTTACCTCAATTTTTTTAAATGGCATCCCTTATTTTTTATTACATATTCTTATAGCTGACCTCGAGAGCTTTCCAAAACACTATAATCAAATGTTTTTTGATGAAGTACTTTTCGAGTTATAAAGCTCCAGATTTACAAAATTTTGAATGATAAAAATTCAAAATATTTCGTAAAACATTCACTTTCATAGTCTTATCTTATA